GTGAACTATCTGTTGGTACAGCAAATTGTGGTAGTGCTGGAGTATTTTTGCTGATGATGTCACCGGTGGTACAATTTTTCAAAGGAGCCCTCAATTGGCTTAATGTCATGGCATTTTGCATCCTCCTCTACTAGTGATGGTCTAAAATTTGGGGGCCAACAGAGGTGAGGCAAAGAACCTCACCCCCCCACAGGTGCAAAGGCCTATCCACAAGTATGGCTGTATGCTGGACCGGTAGTCAGTGACGGGTATGATCCAATTGCAGTGGTACCAACCTAAGACAGGAGGCTGACGCCTAGAGGTCAGTTCATCCGATGACGGGTAAGGACCATATGTTGAATTGGACTGCCTAACAGGCACGGTCCCTAAGCCACATGCTTGTTGTTTAAACAGAGAGGGGGAGATGTTGAGAGCCACAGCCGAAGGGGCCCCAGCAAACTTCCAGCTGCCAGCAAACTTCCAGCTGCCGGCTGACGATTGGCTCACAGCAGCCCCAGCAACATCTAGCTGATTGGCTCCTCTGCGGTGATGCTCATTGGACTGTTTCCCTGCCCTTTCAGACCACGGAGCTGCTCATTGGGGGACTTTTTTGGCTCCCCCCACGTGACCCAGCCAATCGGCCTCAAGAGCAGGACGATTGTGGGAGGTGGAGAGAAGCTTGGGTGGGAGAGAGAGGCTTGTGGAAAGCCGGTGGTGGCAGTTGAGGCTCTGAGGGTTTTTCCTGAGAGACTATTTTGTTTGTCGTGTGTGGTTCTAAAAATAAAGTTAGTTTCTTTTGACAAGTGGCTCCTGATTGTGCCCAGCCAGACTGCGGCATTGTACCACTTAAAATAGGACCCCATCAGTGTTCCATGGCGTATCCTTCCTCCTGAGGACAGCCTCCTCTTGGCTCTTTGATTACAACCCAGCTTCTCCAAAGTGTTTACTCCCCAGTATTCAGAAGAGGCTTCTGGAGTTACAGAAAACTCCAGCCTACATCCTGTAAGAGTTCCTAACCTAAGAATTACCTCGAGTGAAGAAGAATGAAGATGACACTAGGCCCACCAGCTTCTGGGGCAGATGCCCTATGAGGTCCTGGTTTCTGTATGGATGCCTGGGGGCAGGGAACCTCAGCAATTCTTGGTCAGTCTGTGCACCACGGGGCCGAGCTGTCTGCCCATGGACATGTTGCACTGCAGACGGCTCTGAGGGAGGCAAAGAGCTGAGAGTGGCCCATTTTCTATTTGTATAAGGTGATTATCACTGAGCCTTTGGCAGAGGCTCACTGCCAAAGTCAGGAGGTCTTTTGAATTCAGTAACGAGATTCCCTGAACTTGTAAGTCAGCCAGCAGCAGCAGCAAAGTCTGTCTGTTGCATAAAGCTGAAATGGGATGTCTATGCTGATATTAGGAACTGGAAGGGCCCAGAAGACCCTCACTGTGTACCTGCTGGGGACCACTGAGATTAAGAGCCAGGCATCCCAGAGTGGAGTTTGGACCATGGAGCTGACTCTACCCTCAGATCTAATTGCTCCTAAGCTCCTTCCTTCAAATTTGCAAAGAATGAAACACTTACTTCTCTGTACAGTGAATGTGTAAAAAAATGACCACGGAAAGTCTGGAAATGGTGGAACATTCTACCACTGCTTCAAGCTTCCATAACAGGATGCAGTGGCATACCAGCCCAAGGGTACATCAAAGCTTCCTCCCCCACTCTCTAAAAGAGAGTTTTATGCTGTTGACATAATTACACCCTCTTTCATATTACTGTTTTTAAAAGCAGTTAGCTATTTGGTTTTCTTTGCAGTAGAGAAAAGGAAATTGAGGATTTGGGAGTTGGCTTTTCCCAACTGAATCATTCCCACTGCATCATACTGGTCATGAAGTCTGCTTTCTTAGAATTGGAATCTGAGTGGGAAGCAGTCTTCAGGGTCCCACCTTCACCCCTTCCCTGGTCGTTCTGCAGGGCTTCAGCTGGAGCCCACTTCATGGCAGATACTTGAAAGTCATGAGGCCAGTGCTCCTTAAGGATTCCTACTTTACAGATAGGGGAACTGAGGCCCAGGGAGGCTGATTAACTCAGCCAGATTTCCACAACTAATAACCAATGAAATAGAATTGCAGCCTATTCTGATTTTAAGAGCTTCTACTTGAAAGTACCCCTGTGCCGTAACTTCCACCACACTGATTCTCCGAGCAGTGAGTAAAGAGAAGGAAAGTGAATTTGGGGCAGGTAGTTACCTGCCTGAATTCACAGCTCTAGTAGATGGCTGAGCCAGGATGGAATTTTCTCCAACTTCTCCACCTTCTCTTGATATTACCCAGATTCATCTATTCTCTGCACAGAGCTCCCCTGGAAAATTACTGCCTGTGGTATTGATCTTTCCCTGATGAACTGTGAGTTGCTGTGGGACAGGGTCTTGACCTGCTTGAGAGAACCTTCTGTGTTCACTCTGTGCAATAAGTGTAAGTACTGGATGAACCAGGAGGATCCAGGCTGCTCCCTAGGAGCCCTGGACTTGGAGCAGCTGACTCCTGAACTGTAGGACCTTCCTTTGCAATCTGAATGAACCCCCAGCACTGCCCAGATGGTTACTTAAGAGGCAGTTCAGGTGGTTCAAAATGCTTCTTCCAGAAACTCCTACTTTCAAAGCTCTGCAGCAGGGTGGGGTGGGGTCTTTCTGTGTAGTGTTGCGTATTTATTACACACATTCTCATCTACAGCTCCTTGCATTGACCCGAACTGAGATGACTGGCATATGTAATGCTTTTCTTGATGTTCTGTCTTGGGGACTTGTGTTGTGTGTGTGGTCTGAGGGCTCTAATATTTGTGGTAGTAGCCAGAATTTGCTTGCGTCAGGGACAGAGGCCATAACTAGAGCATATGTACTCTTGTGCCCATCCCCTGCCTCAGGCTGCAGCAGTGGCCCAGCCTCCTGCCCAACCCACAATACCGTGGTCTTGCTACTCTGGCCTTTGTGGGGATCCAAAAGGAGTGGAGGTAAACATACGTCCAAACACATCATTGGGCTACTAGAGTGGTTTGATTCACCACCTAAGGACCAGTGTGAGACAGCTGGGTGTGGGCAGAAGCAGCTAGTCAGGGCACAGCCAGCAGGACTGGCATCCACAGACTGAAAGGGGGAGCCCAGCCTGCTGGGAACAGTTTGGGGAGACAAGGAACAAACTCCTGTGTGAAAGGCAATCAGGATTTAAAATGCCATCTTATCCCTCTGACTGCTTTTTCCATGCAGTTTAGGTAAGTTTGTTTTGTTTTGTTTTGTTTTTTTGCTTGTAAGACATTTTATTTATTTTTTACTTATTTCTTACATACATGACAATAGTGGAGTGCATTACATTCATAATTATCCATTCACAGCACAATTTTTCATAACTCTGTATGTTCATGCCAAATTATGCTATTATAAATGAGCTCTCTTTTTTTTGCATCACAATTCTTAATACTGTTATAACACAATTTATCATGTCTCTGTTTGTATATAAGGTATGTTGACACCAAATTCACATTTTCATACATGTATTTTGTATAATGATAAGGGTCTACTTCCACTATCCTTGCTATTCCCCTTCTCCCTATCTTTCCCTCCCACCCCTATTCCCTATCTAGAGGTAATTTTCCACCCATGCTCTCCCTCCCTACCCCACTTTGAGTCACCCCCCTTATATCAGAGAAAACATTCGGCATTTGTTTTTTGAGGGGATTGGCTAACCTCACTTAACATAATCTTCTCTAATGCCATTTTGGAAGATATTTTAAACAGAAAAATCTTGAAAAGAAACCTCCAAGTGTGAGATAACTGTAAAATTTGTCACCATAGAAACCATTTAGGGCCACTTTAGAGCTGAAAGAAGAAGGCAGAGTATCACCTTATCTAAACTCAGCTGGGGATGTGCACATTGGGTACCTCAAATTTTTTTCTGCTCTGCACCTATCTATGAATGTTATAAAAAATGCCACAAGTGTTGATTTGGGGATTACAAATAAATTTGAGCAACACAGACAAACAATATTAATAGAATCTGTGAATAATGAGCATCACCTAGATATTTACTACATAAATGTTATAAAGGAAAGAAAATAGGGTAAGGATTGATGGGTTTGAATAGAAGCCTGAAGGAGGGGGAAGAGACACGCAGATACCAGGGAGAAGTATTCTTTAGGCAGAAAGAATAATGGCATGTTTGAAAACTAACTGTAGCCAGCATGGCAAGAATGGAGTGAGAGCAAAGACCAAAGTTTTGGCCATCTCACCTTCCTCTAAAGATTGCGTCCCTGTCCGTGTTGAGGCCGGGACCAACTGTATTTATAATCTGAATTATAAATCTGAATTTCTGTTTGACCATCCCTTTGCCTGTGACCTGTTAGGTTTTTATGGATTTGAACAGGACCAGAAAAATGAAGCCTGCTTGTAATGTCATGACTGTATTCTTACTGAGCCCTTTTATTATTGATTTAAACTTTAGCATATGCATGTTCATTTATCTCTTCATCCTCCTCAGCTTCAGGGAATGTGGGATGTGTGGGGGACACAGGAGCAGTTGGCCCAGAACCTAGAAAATGGAGAACAGAGTCATCAAGAGTTAGGATGGGAAGGGGAAACTGACAGGAGTTTTTGTTGATGTGCTTGTTTTTGCAATTGGTTCAAATATAAAATATCCAACCCCTGAGACCACTGTCAGTATTTTAAAGTGAATTCTGTTGCTTCCTGAGCCAGTTTGGTGGCTTGGCTGTGACCTCCATGTTCCTGTGAAATGTCATGGGCATTTTAAAAATGTTGTGTCATGATCCTACCCACTCTGTCCATAAGAGCTGGAAAGGGGAGGAGGAAAAAGAAGAAGGGGGACGTCAACGGGCCCTCATCCTGCATTACTGCAGCCAAAAAAAGTTGTCCATGTGTTTCAACATAGTATACTATTTTTACTCTTTCTGTTTTGTCTCAGGTTTTACTTCTTATAAGTACAAAATTGTTTATCTGTACTTGTCCCCTTTGTGTGTTGCAGGACGTTAAAGTCTTTAGTGAAGATGGAACAAGCAAGGTGGTGGAGATTCTGACAGATATGACGGCCAGGGACCTGTGCCAGCTGCTGGTTTACAAAAGTCACTGCGTGGATGACAACAGCCGGATAAAATGGCAGATAATTCTTCATGTCTTAAAACATCACTCATAGTATACTGTCGTTGGGTTTTGCTTTTTCATCTTCATTGCAGGACAATTGCAAAATGTTAGTACAAAGTGTACAATGTGATGATCTGTTTTACATGTACACTGTGAAATAATTATTAAAATCAAGCTAATTAACATACTCATTACTGCCTATACTGTGTATGTATGTGTGTGTGTGTAATGATATCACTTAAACTCTACTTTCTAGCAACATTTTTTTTAAAGAGAGAGAGAGAGAGAGAGAGAGAGAGAGAGAATTTTTAATATTTATTTTTTAGCTAATTCGGCGGACACAACATCTTTGTTTGTGGTGCTGAGTATCTAACCTGGGCCGCACGCATGCTAGGTGAGCGTGCTACAGCTTGAGCCACATCCCCAGCCCTAGAATTTCAAACTTACTGAAAATAAGATCAGTGAGCTGCAGAGAGATGGTCTCTTGTCAGGACAATTTTGAAGGAAATCGGTGCTGCCTTCCCCACAAAGCTCCATAAGCTGAGTTCCCTGACCCACAAAAAATTCTTTATCATGCAGTACATGATTATATACCAATTTAAAGAAGGTCAGTTTCACAAAAGTGAAACAGTGACGATTTCTCTAATCCCATCATCATTACCTGGCAGTCTAGCACAAGACTGTCCAAAAGAGAAATTCATAAGCTGTCATTGTAAATCCTGCTTGAGATGATTGAAATCACAATACTAGAATTAAAAAAAATGTAGATAAATATGCATTATGTTATTAATATACTAGTTTATTCCATCTAAGCCCTGAGTTGCTTTAACAGGAAGACATTAGCTGATAGACTCTGTGTATTTTATGTGTTTTTATCTTAAGTTTGTATAAAGAAAATACAAATTTATATACCATCACTTTAATCAAAGAGTGTATAATGTAGCTGTGGAGAGGAAGTTAAAGAAAGAATCCAAAAAAAATTAAAAAAAAATAAATAAAAATAAATATCAGAAGAGGGACTCGATCAGTGACTGCTGTAATATTCAAAAACTATAGTCATGATGGAAGCATAAGTTTAAAAGCAACTTCCAATATGAATGGAGCATAGATGGGTATCAGTGGAAGAAAATATTTGAGTTGGGTGAGAAGCATGAATAAACAGGGAAATTTTTTAGTATTTCAGTTATATTTAAGAACCATTTCAACCCTAATGACTGAGACAGAAATTTGTGCTATTTATCCCTTAGAAACACCCAGGCCCATGGATTGAATAAGGATTGAATAAGGGAAGAAAGTTTCAAAATATGGTTGCAGACTCATTTCAAAAATCTTAAAATCAAATCAAATTTCATAAAGATGACCTAGTGAAGACAATGACTTATGTTTCAGGTGCAGAAGCACTATTCAACAAAGAGAATTAAAGGTAATAATCAGAATGAATTGTGCTGCTATAGACATTGATGTGGCTGTGTCCCTGTAGTATGCTCTTTTTAGGTCCTTTGGGTATAGTCCGAGAAGGGGAATAGCTGGGTCAAATGGTGATTCCATTCCCAGCTTTCCAAGGAATCTCCATACTGCTTTCCAAATTGGCTGCACCAATTTGCAGTCCCACCAGCAATGTATGAGTGTACCTTTTTCCCTGCATCCTCACCAGTGCTTGTTGTTTGACTTCATAATGGCTGTCATTCTTACTGGAGTAAGAATGGTATCTTAGAGTAGTTTTAATTTGCATTTCTTTGATTGCTAGAGATGGTGAGCATTTTTTCGTGTATTTGTTGATTGATTGTATATCCTTTTCTGAGAAGTGTAATAGATGAATGGAATAAAATAATGTGGCATTTATACACAATGGAATATTGCTCAGCACTAAAAAAATAACAAGATCATGTCATTTGCAGGGAAATGGATGGCATTAGAGCAGATTATGCTAAGTGAAGTTAGCCAATCCCTAAAAAACAAATGCCAAATGTCTTCTCTGATATAAGGGGGTGATTCAAAATGGTCTAGAGAGGAAGAGCATGAGAAGAAGATTACCACTAAATAGGGAAGAGAGGTGGGAGGGAAAGGGAGGGAGAAGGGTAATTGCACGGAAGATGGAAAGAGATCCTCATCGTTATACAGAATACATGTATGATGATGTGAGGGGGAAAAAAAGAAGTGTGTCACATTAGATTGGGTAGAGAGAAGTGATGGGGAGGGAGGGGAGGGAAAGGGGGGATAGGAAGGGAGCAGAATAAAATAGACACTAGTATTGCTGTATGTATATAGGTGACTGTATGACCAATGTGAGTCTGCAACCTGTACACTCAGAAAAATGAGAAATTATACCCTATTTGATTCAAAAGAAAAAAGAGAGAAAGAATGAAGAGGAAACATTTCTGAAATTGAAGTATACACACACAAAAAAAATGGCTAGAATTGCATATTCTTACCAAAATGTCTCATCTCACTGAAGGCTAAAACATTAATAATTGCACATTTTTAAACTCTTCAGTTGGAGAAGTTTGAACAATCATGTCACCACACGGAACCCCGACTTAATACAGGAGAGAATCTTGTCTGTATTTCTTGAGTCAATTCCTACTCTGCCCATCTATCCTTTCTCTGCTTTACAAAGGCAAGGACTTTTCTTTTTCAAAACATACAAGTTAGTTTTCCAATATAGTAGATTCAAAATCCTTTAAATTGCAGTCTGGCTTTTTCATATCTGACTTATTTTGTTTACCATACTAGAATTGAAATTATCTATTATGTATCTGTAATTCATATCTTTTGATAGGTGAATAATATTCTACATTATGACAAAAATGAAATTTGTCTATCACCAATGATGAAACTGTTTAATATTTAGTCATATTCTACATTATGACTAAAATGAAATTTGTCTATCTCCAATGATTTCTGTTAAATGCTATTATAAATAATATTGTCATAGTAATTATTTTTCAAGTTGTTTCAAAGACACATTTTTCATTCCATTGTGTAAATACAAGGAATCATTTCCTATGAATGTGTTTATATAAAACTGACACACAGATACTTGAAACAGTTATAGAATGAAACATACCTTCAGCAATTTCTGAATGTTCTGTATTCTAGAAAATATTTCATGTTGTCTGTAATTTTTTTGTAATTTCAGCAATGCTAATGAGAGACAAAACAGCATCTCATTGTGGTTTTGATTTATATTTATCAACACACATTCTGGAGACAAACTAGAAAGATTACCCATTAAATGAATGTTTTTGTCTGGCAAAACTGTAGGGACCAACAGTAGGTTCGTGGTGGCCAGAGTGTAGGAGTAGTGACAATGGTTAATTATAAATAAGATGCTGAGGGAGAAATTTTAATGTGATGCAACTGTTTTATATCATGCTTATGGTAATGGACATATAGCTCTGCTTCTATCAAGCACATAAAACCATATACCACATAGAGTGAATTTTGATGCATATAAATTAAGAACCAATAATGAAATCAATTTTAAAGGTAAAAATAAGGCAATAGGCTAGACTTTCCATTAAGGCCAAGCCTCAGGCAGATGAACATCCCAGTACTAGCAGATGCCTAATTTACTGAACAAAGTCCTAATTAGCCAGGATATTTTCTTATCAAATTTAGCATGACATGGTAAAATTTAAAATCTCATTGTGTTTGTAAAAGAAAAAAAAATCAAGAACCTTCCACAAAGAAATCAAGTGGCTAGAGGAAGAGAGGACTGTGGCATTTTGCAGTGACTGCTGTTGTTCTTAGCAATTTGTAATTCCCTAATACCTTTTATAGTCTCCTATCATGATTCCGTGGAGTAGCATGTAGATTTAGTTATTTTAAATAAAGCTATTATATATTAATTGAAGGACTACATGTAAACTGTTCTTTATTTTAAAGTTAAGCCAATATAAAAAACAAACCTTTCCTTTCTTTCCCATTTCTCCACCACTTTGTGCTTAGTAAATGGACTCTACAGTCTGACATCCTACTTATATCAGGGAGGGAGAACATTAGCTAAGTGCCTTCTTTTGTTCAAGACAGTGCTTTCAAAGAAGTATTTTTCTAGTGTTTATTTTGGCGAAATTCAGTAATTTCTGCAAACCATTAGGTAGGAGCAAATTGAGTGCGAGCACTTGCAACTGCTTTTGTGACATGAAGTAGGTCACTTAAGCTATTTGGCTCTTCCAAATTATGTATAGAGAAAAAATGATGTAAAAATTTAAATAACTTTTTTCCCAGTAGTAGCTGTATCTATGAATATTTCTCCTATTTCCTTTCAATTCCTTTAAAACACACCATGTGAACTCTCACACATATACTAACAATACTCAACACACTGTCAATTTGATCACAATTAATTAGATTATTTTAAATAACTTTACTTAGATATTTTATAATACATTTTGATTTATATAATTTTTTGATAAAGAAACATTAAATGTTGCCAACACACTTTAGTTTAAAGATAATTATCTATATTATTTGTAACTAAGGTCTATCATTGCGATAGCCTCAACAATTTGAAATATTTACATCATTTAATACAATAAATTTTTTGAGAAAATCATTACTGACAAAATGCAAGAATCTACCCAAACTTCCTGTTTTTGTTGTTGAATTGCTGAAATCAATAATCACAGTAAAGCATAGAGGTAAAAGTAGAAGACCCCTTCAGAAAAAGGGGAAAATGCTGATAATTAGTGTGGACTGACTTTGGGCTAAAGGAATCCTAGACTTCTCCTGTCTGTGTTTTTTAAGCTACTAGCTAAAAGTTTCCTCCCATTAGAAGAAGGAGTAAAACCAAGTTAAAAGATACATTTACAGAAATATTATATTAATTGCTGGTCTTTTCCACCCTTAAAAATTTGGTACAAAAATTTATTCCCTATGCCACTTGTTCCAACTTTGTTTTCAGATTAAGCAAATTACAGATTTTTTAAGGTATCATTATAATGATCTTTTTTTATTAGCTACACATGACACTACAATGATCTTCACAATTCATACATTTGAATCAAATGGGGTATAATTTCTCATTTTTCTGATTGTATAGGTTGCAGAATCACATTGGTCATACAGTCACCTAAATACATAAAATTTATAGATTTAATTTTAACAAGTTCCAGACTGCAGAACCTGTTAATTATAATACCCTTTTACCCTCTTTCAGTCTTATTTACTTTAGCAATGAATATTTTTT